ACCTGGTAGGTGACCCAGGCTGCCCACCTCAACTATCTGGTTTTAGTTGGTTCATCTATAAGCACAGAGGTTCTACTGCTACATAAGATGTCTAATTCTTTCCCAGCTTAAAAAAGAAAAAAAAAAGTTCCTGGTTTCAGATATCATTCCTAAGGAAATACCAGATCACACATAAATCTTTCATTCTAGGCTTTATATCCTTTAAACAACATCAGACCCATAAATAGCCATGCTCTCTGAAAAACAAAATGCCTCCCCTCCTTTTTTTTTTATTTGTATTTTTAAGTAAAGGAACAGTCTATTAAAAAAGTTTCTACTCAGCCCTCTTCAACTTCCAGAATTTAAAACAGGATGATACAAAGAGGGCCTTTTGTTTTACGATTGTTGTTTTTTTGTCACACTTATTTTCAGTTAAAAAATTTAGAAGTCTATGAAATATTAAAATTCCTTTTTATAACTAACCTGCCAAAGTATACATTATCTTTTTACATAAAGAAATTGTAAAAGTATTTTTGGTTGACTTTTACCCAGAAATCGCAGCAGGTATTTTAAATATATATTTTCCAAGTGTTACATATAACATACTTAGATTTTAAAAAGTAAATATTATCAGAAAACATATCCTTGCACTGTGTTTACATTGTAGTTATACCTCACATCTCACTTCCTTTCCCTATAAATCACACTGTTTCATTAAACATTACTTCTATAACTTTGTATTTTGAAGTAAAATATTTAAAATCTGAACTAGAATTAGACTAGAATAGAGATTCACATACATGTGATATGTAGATCTAAATAACTATATTTATTTTATTTTCATCTCTTAGGCTATTTAAGATATTTAATGGCACAAAATTAAAAGATATACATATTAATCCTAGCTGGGAGTCCTCAATTTTTTATTTACACATTTGATTCTCAGGCCAAGTTACTATTCATAAATATTATTTAGATAAACTCACACTCAAGAAGGTATCAAAAGTCAAAATTACAAATAATTTGGGGAAAAAAGGAGACAAATGATTTCTCTTCATTTTTAGAAATTTCTCAATGTTAACAATATTTTCAGTGCAACACTCTAGGATCAGCCATGGTACATTTTAATTACCTTAAAAATCTCATATGGTAAGCATAGATAATAAACGATCAAACTCTAAAAGCATTTAGTTCAGACGTAGGAGCAAGCAGAAATAATCCAAATGTGCAAACCCCAAATCTATGTAAACAAGCAAACAAACCAAAAAACACAAGCAGAAAAGGTAGAGAAGAAAGTTATCATATTGCAAAGCCCTTCCAAAATTCAGAATATTCAAGACAATTAAACTGTAGTTTGACAAACTTCTAGAGAACAATCCACATGCACTTATCTGGACTTCACTTTCCAGGCCTACTTATTATTTCTTGTATCAAGCATGCAGGTGAATATACTACTCATCTTCAGCCTCACAGAAATGAATATTCAGTATATTCGTTGGCTTATTAAAGAGAACATTGAAGAATAGGTACAAAGCCACCTACCATTGTCACTGTCTCCTTCAGATGGAACACTGTAGCTAGAGCTGTCCCATGTTTGTGCCTGTGTAAGTTTGTTGAAGGAGATAGGAGGAAGAATGAGGGCTGGGTCTGCAGGAGAGCGAGAGAGCCAGTCCACGTGTGGTTGCACAAGGACCAGGAAAAACCAAAGGGGCAGCAGCATTTCACAAATGGCATAAGGTTTGCATGGACATGAAGTGGATTTCATTTATATGGGATTTAATTTCAAATGTACAATATAGGAGAAGAATGAAAGATGGCGCATGGAATAAAAAGAATGATAAAAACTGAGTGTTAGTACTCATCAATCGTACACTTTGCATGCAGTTAAAATTGTTCATTGTAACAGTTCTGCAAGCCCACAGACTTAGAGCGCTAATGAATTGTGTCAGCAGAAAGAAAGAGTACCCATAGGTTTTGTAGATAACAGGTAAGAGACCTACCAGATACTTTTCTCAAAGATTTCTAAATAACTAACAATCTTAGCAAATATGATTCATGCAGAAAATTTGGTCATATAGGACAAAGCTTAATATGTGTAAATATATCTATTATTTAGAAATAAAACTATTACAGAGTCATTGTTTACCATTAGTGAAATTTTTCCCAAGGCAATATAAAGTTTCTTTTTAAAGACATCAGTAAGTCTACAAGCATGCTTTATAGATAGCTGAATCTAGTCAACTCTTTCTTTAATTCTTCAAAACAATGCTATTTTTAATATTGCTCAGCAGAGGAGAAAAAGCATAATTTTGATCACTTGTAGAGTTTATTTAACAACAAACACAATTAACCACTAGATGTCAATCAGTTTCAATAACTTCTGAGTCGGTCATATATAAACTGGTAACATCTCTTTTTGCACTAAGTATCCATATAGTAATTTCATATTTAGGAAATATCTATTTAAATTTTATTCAATCATAAGACAGAGCCAGTAAAATAAATGGACATGGTTCCAGGAATGAATATTTGGGTATGTGCAGTTGTCTTTCTTTGGGAGGAAAATGCAGAAGAGAAAAAAATGTTTCTTTTGAAGAAAACTGTCAGCCTACTTTAAGTATCTAAGTTCTTATTCCAACTTGCTGATTTAAGCAGTTTGTTTTTACTTATAACACAGAAATCACGTAAATCCACATACTTTGTCTTTAAGCATTCCAAAGCTACTCAATCAAAAATGGTTTCCATCTTTTTAAATTATATGATCTCCAATTAAGATTGCTGTATATATTATTTTCCAGAAAATATGAAAAGTACATACTGTAATATTTAGAAATTACTAAATAAAACTTAAAAATTCCAATACGTAATGCTTGTTTTATAAAGTTCTGATATGCCACTTGATATTCTTGAAAATAAATCAACATTATTTAATGCAACCAAGCTCCACAGTGCTTTCCACAACTAGAACAATTTCCACACTGGTTAGTCAGTCTTACAGAATGGTTGGAAGCTTAGGGAGGAAATTATCTTTGTTTTCTGCTATTTAAAATCAATACTCCATTTATTTCTTATGACTACAAAGAATCTGAAATAGTTTAACAGTACCAGAACAAAGTAAACCCTAACTTTGATAAAGGGGAGTTTGGATTCCATAAAATGAATTAAAAAGTCACTAAAACAATTTTACAACTAAATTACAAAGTTGCATATTCAGAATAAAACAATATTGTTCTTCGCAGATCCATTCAACTTTTGATTTGTTCAATTATGAAATCTTTTTAAATTGTATAAAACTGCCTGTGAGGATTAGGAGAAAGACTGTAGCCTAATATGATGTCTTCAGTGTGGAGACATAAGTCTCCTGGCTACTCACTGAAGGCATTGATGAGGTGTCCCAGACTCACCTCCATACCCCCAGGACAAAGCAGTGACCATGAGAGTGGAAACCCAGCCAAGGGCCCCCAAGCCAGATCTGGGCACATGTGCTTAGTTCCGTATATGAGGAGGCCAGCCGTGTGAGTCTTATTTCATGTACGATTTGGCTGTCCAAAAAAATCCACTAACTCTTGTCATGCTCCAGCATTTTCTCAAATGGCTTTTTTCTTATGGACCATTTAAGCTTTGGAGAAACCATTATACCTGGCCACATGTTACCCGTCAGTCAAGTTGCTCCAAAAATGAAAAACATTTCCTTTATTAAGGAATCATCTTCCCTCCACCCCCATGGGTTACTTTCTCCAAAATATACACATGTATAACTTCTACTATTGTCAAAATGCTTTATTGGAAACCCAAGAGCATCTGAGTTCTCTACCAGCTTTTGCTTAAAAGTGTCTGAGTCCTTTATTAGCACTTGCTTAAAAGTGTTAGTGAGTGTATGCTAGATACCAAAGAACCAAAAATATTAAAACAAAGAAGGACCTAAAAGACGAACAATAGGACCAGAACTTTAAATAAATGGAAAAATCAAATGAACCAAGTTTTTCTATAGAGCCTTCTTTTTAATATCAATAATTATTTTTTGCATTGCTATAATTTACTTTTGTGAATATACTAATTACAAATTAAAATAAAGTAATATAAGCAAAATGCTTTCCCAAAAGACTTTTTAAAACATTACTCCTGATCACTCATGCAAGCCTTCACATGATCACCCTATTATAAGTATATACATAGAACCTACCAGGCTCAGGAAGCAAATGAGGGATGTCTCAGAAAGGAATCACCCTCCCAGAGGCTGCTATTTTATCTTCCTGGGGTAAAAAATTCAATAAAATATTTCTTCCCCACTTACATGCTCCCATCGCCTTTTTTTCTTTGCTCTGATTCAAAAAAAGGTAAAATATCCATTACTGATACCATGGATTTAACAGTTGATTCACTGAAACAATGCTCCAAACTCTGGTCTCCCCAAGCTGCAGCAAGCTTCTGATGCCAGGATTCCAACTCGGAGTTGACAAGGGTGTGCACACTAAAATGTATACACTTAAGCGGCCAAAGGGAAATCACTGAGTTATTTAGGGTGAGACTGGTCTGAGATTTTTAACTTACCCGATCGAGGCTTCAAGCCAAATGGAGCTGTGCTGTTTGTGGTAGGAGAGTCTGCAGGGGAGATCTGTTGGGTAAGAAGGAAAGGAAATTAGAAAAATCTGAAGTGGAATTATGTATGCTTCTCTATGTTCAAAGATTATAATAAAACCACTCCCTTTTTGCATTTGCTGCTGTGTGATGATGTCCTGGCTAAAAAATACGATACCAGATGCATCTTCCCTTTGCAAATGTTTTAAATGGCATAATCAACAGAATGTTGTTTAGGAGTGACCCATTCAATTTTTTATTTGCTCACTATAAAAATATTTTATAATCATGTAAAACTGGCAATCCTTTTCTCCTTCAGCATAGTTGTGTACAAGTGTACACGCACGCACACACACACACCCCTACATCCAAAAGAGGACACATCTGATTAAGACTTGCATGACACAATGAGATGAGAAAACAGAAAACACTGAGCAGATGTCCCTTCAGAAAAACCACACACTGAATCATTTACAGATAAGATAACATTCTAAATGTTGCGTATTTGAGCAATTTTTATTCTGTTTTCTATAAAGATGTTCCTATATTTGGTTTTCAAAAATCTTATAAAAATTAATCTTTAATTATGTAGAGGGCCAGATAAGGCTATGACAGTTAATGAAAGTGAGATGGATTCCCCCAGAGACTCTTAATTAACTCATTAATCACAACAGTTTTAGATTACATATTTCTGTAAAAGATACTCCAACTCAGGCTTCATAAAATACCTTAGCTTCCATTAATCTTCAGGAAACTTACCTCATTTGGAGAATACTGGCTCCCATTACTCTGTAATGTTAGATCATTTTGCACCTTAAAGAAGAAAAAAATGCACAGTATGTTCCATTAGACTGTCAAACTGTTGAGGCGAGAACCGCATCTTCATTACTCCCATCGTACCCTGGTCCTCAGGCCCACTATGAATACACGCTGAATCAATTAGTTAGTGGTGTTAAGTAGCTAAGCAGATCATAGTTTTCTAAAATCATACAGCTGTATTCATAGAAAAATATATCTAAAGTATCACACAAACTAAGATAAGGAATTTCCCAGGGCAAAGAGGTCACTCCAAAGTGTCTGTGGACATCAGCTTATCCTGTTAGGTGACCAATGTGCCTGCCGGTTCCCACCCCATTTTAACAATGGGTTTTTAGAAACAGTCCAAGGCAGTAATTCCGAAATACAGAGAATCACACTGGGAGCTTTTAATAAGTACATTTGCCTGGACCCCCAATTACTTGGGTAAGTCTCTTGTCAGTTCAACATCGGTAGACTTTGATAACCACTGGTTGAGAGAAAAATTTAGGAAATTTTTCTATGGTATAAAGTGTGTGGGATTTATAACTGGCTGTGGAGGAAAGTCAAGATGACATCCTGGCTTCCAGCAGGAATGATCGGGGAGGATGTGGGCTAACTGAATACCACTGAGAATGCGGAGCTCTTCAAGAGGAAGCCGATTGCCTCGGTTTAGCCATGGAGAGAATGAGAAGCTCATGGGGCACGGAGATGACATCTGAACACTGGGAGGCAGGGAGGGACTAGGGACCTGAGCTGTAGGTGTGGAAGTCATTATTATGTATGGGGTGCCTGCGTCCCTAAGGGTGGCCAGATGCTCCAGGGAGGCAGTACAGAAGGTGAGGAACAGTGGCCGAGGGCAGAATCCTAGAAAACCAGCATGAAAGGGACACACAGAGACAAGGGCCCACAGGAGGCACACGCTAACTTCTCCAACTTATTTCACCCAGATCTTCCATAGCCTTTTTTTTTTTTTTTTGGACAGCTGGCTGGTTCAGAGATCCGAACCCTTGACCTTGGTGTTATAACACTGCTCTAACCACCCGAGCTAATCAGCCAGCCCTTCAGATCTGCCTTCTTTAGA